GTAGAAGAGCCCCAAAGAGGGGCTAATAGACTAATTACTGCAGTTAGACCAAAAGTGACTACACCAACTTGGAGAAGTAAAAACACAACTCCTCGACCTGGAAAGAGTGATAAAAATACTCGGTATATTAGGGGAAATTAATTTTAAAAAATATTTACGAAGATGATTCCATTAATAATTAACCTGGGACACTATTAGAAAAACAGACAGGGATGGGCCGGGTTCAACGGAACACGATACCCTAAATCCTGACTTTTTATCTATCCAAAGCACGACCCGACTTTTTTGTTAACCAGGCTTATACAAACCAGGCTCATACATATGTACTAGGGTTTCACCGGAACCGAAATTATGACCGGAACCGGAACCGGATCCAATTTGAGTTCCGGTTCCCGGAACCGGAACCGGAACCGGAACCAAAAAAGGCCGGAACTTTCCGGAACCGGAACTTCCGGTGAAACCCTAATATGTACGTGTTGCCAAGACACTCCATGTGGCAAATAAAAATTAAAAATCCACTCATATTTTGATAGAGTAAAGAAAAGCCGCCTATTGCAAAGCTGTAGGAATTAAATAGCCATTATTACAATAATATTGTGGATAGCTAATAATGAGATTCAACTGATTTTCAGCTATAATAATTATGATATCGTAGAATTAATTCCCAATTAGAATTAATTCACTAATTAGAATTAATTAACCAATTAATTCCCAAAAAATTTTTTTATTTTATCTAAGGGACGAAAATAAAGCTCCAAGAATCGGCCCGATAATTTTGCCAAACGATTCAATTGAAATACACTTGCCAGAAAATGGGGAAGGAAAGCATGAATTAAATTACAATAAATGTGGGCTTATTTATTTAATAAATTCCATAAAATAAATTTTAGACACCCCAGCCCCCGATAGAGCAAGAAATTGCCTGTCGTTAGCTCAGTATTGCAATCACCGAGCATATAGAAAAATATTACAAAGGTTTGGAAAAATATTGTATACTTCTGATTTTTGTTCTGGAGTAATTCTAATTTTATTTCTGATTTTTTTAGTTTTGATTCTGATTTCTTACCTTAATTCTGACATTAATTCTGATTCTTCTGAGTTGATTCTGATTTTAATTTTGATTTTTTCTGTTTAATTCTGATTTAATTTTAACATAATTCTGATTTTAATTCTGATTTAATTCTGATTTTTCTGGTTTTGATTCCGATCTTAATTCTGATTTTTTTATCTTAATTCTGACATTAATCTGATTTTTCTGGTTTAATTCTAATATCGAGCTGATTCTTCTGAGTTGATTCTGATTTTACTTCTGATTTTTCTGATTTAATTTGGATCTTAATTCTGATTTTTTAAAATTTGATTCTGATTTTATTTCTGATTTTTTGGTTTTTGATTCTGACATTAATTCTGATTTTATTCTAAATACCCACAAAAACATTTAATTTAAAAACAATTTTCAGTTCAGGCATTGCCAAACAACCTGCGCAAGGGATGACTGTTTAGATCAAAGAGGAGATCTGTAAATAATTTAATTAATAAATTAATTAATTCAATATTTTAGCTGTTTACATTGGGAAAATAGAGGATTTTGTAAACACCCATTTTATAAAAAAATGCGTTGGAAATGTTCGAGAACCTGTGGACTTTGTCAAATAAATTAAAATTCTGATTTTATTCTGTATTTACAATTGTAAATTTATTTTTCTTTTATGATTAAACTTAATTCTGATTTCTTGTTTGTGTACATATTTTATTATATTCTGTTATGATTCTGTATTTTTAAGTTATTGTTGTTGGCTGTGATAATTCTAATTTTTGTTAATTCTGGTTTATTTTCTCAATTCTGATTTTATTCTGTATAGGTATATGATTTAATTCTGGTTTTCTGCTTTTATTTATTCTGATTTTAATATTCTGATTTATTTAATTCGGATTTTATTGAATCAACAATTAATTAAATGAATTAACAATTAATTGTTTAATTCTGATTTTTTAATTCTGATTTTATTTATTTCTGATTTTTTAATTCTGATCCTAATTCTGATTTAATTAATTTAAATTAATTCTGATTTTATCCATTTCGGTCTTAATTCTGATTTTTAATTCTGTTTTTATTATTCTGATTTTTAATTCTGATTTTTATTCTGATTTTATTAATTCTGTTTTTATTAATTCTGATTTAATTGTGATATTCTGATTTCTATGTATAATTAAATTCTATTTAATTTTTTCTATTCTGGTTGTTTAAATTCTGAAATTAATTCTGATTTTATTAATTCACATTTATTTGTCTATTCAGAATTAATTATCAGAATAATTAAATAAAATTAAATTCCCTGTCTGGTCAATAAATTTTATTTTATTTTATTTTTATTCTTATCTTGTATTATTTCTGTTCTAAAAATATTTTAAGCACTTTTATTTTTTAATAAAAATAATGATTCATCAGCAAATTTGTTTTTGTTGACCTTACATTTTTTTTTATTTTCAACAGCTGTCTTTTATTTTTCTTAGTAAACTTCTCCGAATGCTTTTTAAAATTCCTTCCCTTTTAGTGTGAATCAGAAAAATAAATAAAAATAAAAATATTTATTTAATGGAAGAATAACAAATTTCATTCAATTCTCTTCGTAAATTGAACAATAAAAAAAATCCTTTCATTTTTAAAATATATTTTTCCAATCGGAGTGTTTTATTGAATTTAATTGATAGTTTGAAGTGTTCTGAATTTTAATCTGATTTATTACAGGGTGCGGCATAAGTAACCGGACACTTTTAAATTCCTTATAACTTTTTTCATTGTCAATATTTTTAATTGATTTTAGGCTTATTTTTTAGCTCATTCAATTCTCTATTATGGCTAGTCAACGTGATTCTATAATCTCACTTTTTTTGCAAAAAAATTCAGTCCGCAAAATTTCATCTCTTTTGAATGTCCCAAAGAGCACTGTAAAGACACAATCAAAAAATTCTGGTGAAAATTTTTTGGGAGAAAATTTTTTTGAAATTAATTTAGTAATCATGGCACAACTCAGAACTTACAAAAAAGTGGAAGACCTCGTTCCGTAATCACTTCCAAGAATATTAAATTAAAAAATATCCCCTCTGATATCCCAGACAAACAGAAAATAAGTATCTCTCTCATACCCCACTTATCGCAGAAATCCGCAATCTCATTAATATCGCATTTACCCTAAAACCAGAAATCTTCTGATCTCCCATACATCACAAAAAATATAGTATCTATTAGAGATCGATATTTTCAAAAATCCTGGATCTGGATTCTGGATCTGGATTTAGGTTAGTAACCTGGACAGGATTCTTGATCTGGATCCAGGAAAATCCAGATCCAGAAAAAATCCAGGATTTTTTTGGTCTGGATCCAGCCTGGATTTCTGGATTTTTTTCTAAATCCACAGATATCCTGCTTAATTATTAGATATCCCTCCAAATCCCCTGATACTCTTCTTGACTCTGGATCCAGAAAAAATCCAGACTGGATCCAGATCCAGACCGATCTCTAGTATCTATCTATTATCTCTCTCAGTTATCCCAGAGATATACCAAATGTCATTAAACACCAGAATCTCTCAGATATCCCACTTCACTAATTCCCAATACTCATTCAATATACCTTCCTAAGATTTCAACCTTTCAGACTTTTCGTTTGAAGAATATTTCAACTATACCCAATTTAAGATTAAATTCAATAAAAAAAAATGTTTGGAAAATCTGCATTAATCCCTCTATTATTTTTAATAATCTCCATAATTTCTGTCAACGCATTTCGTCAACAAACTGTGGGTGTTAGAGGTCGTTTAATGTGTGGTAATCAGCCGTTGAAGGACACACAAATTAAGCTTTGGAATAAAAATATTGGTAGGTTAATTAATATAGATATTGACATTCTCTTGCTAGAATGACTGAAATAATTGCCCTAAGATAGCTGTTGATCTAGTCAATCACCTTAATAATGCCCTTGATATTATAAGAAATAAGGGAGAACATGTTGGGCTAGGGTTTAAGTATACACTAAATGATGGAGGTAACATCAGTACCCTGGTAGCTCAGTCGGTAGAGCATCTGTACGTGGTTGAGCGGAAACGCCTAGCTAACTGTAAGGAGGTTGAAGGATTGATGCTGCTCTGATTAAACTCTGCCTCTCTCTCTTAATTAATAACAAGACTAAGCTTCTCCGGATGCATCATCTATCTCCCTACAGCTTTCCATCTTCTATGTTCCCCAACAAACTCTTGTTCTGATTTTTGTTTCTGAAGACTAAGCTTCCCCGGACGTATCATCTCCTTACTTACCTATCTCCCTATGGTCCCCCAGCAAAACTTTTGTTCTGATTTTCATTTCTGATTTAATTCTGATTTTTTTTTCATCCCAAAATTACAATTTAAGGAAGTGATAACCAACTTGCTGCAGTCAAAACCGACAAAAACGGCAATTTTGAAATGCAGGGAGGGGTTGGGCAAATTACTAAAATGGATGTTCATTTTAAAATATATCATGATTGTAATGATGGAATTAAAGTAATTTTTAAGGAAAACTTTAATTTAAAAAAATTATTTTCCAAAATTTTAGCCATGTCAACGGAAAATTGACTTAGGTGGGTATTTGTTTTAGTTAAACAAATTTGACCGTAAATAAAATTTAGCCTAGGAATTTTACATGAATTAAGAAAATTAAAAAGTTAAAAAACCTTATTTTGTTACCTACCTTGTCTACTTGACTAAGAAAATCTAAAGATTGAGAAAAAATAATCTGAACTAACTTAAGAGAAATTTCAATACTATCTTAAAAAGTCGCCTATAAAGAGAGCTGATTAAACAGAATTAGTGCGTGTACCGTCTCTCTTTAGGTAAGAGAGAGAAGGGGAAAACCGCCTATGAAGGTAGTTGATTAAATAGAATTAATATAAGAAAGTCGCTTATAAGAAAAGTTGCTTAAAAAGAATAAAGATCTTCTTTCTCGGACTATTTTCAAAACACGACATGTATAATTTTAAAATTTATTTAGGAGTCCCAGATGAATATATTACACGTTCTGATAGAGTTCAGAAATGGTTTGAGGCGGGTACTATGAATATGGTAAATTATAATTATTTTGTTTGTCAAAAAAAATTTTATTTCAAGGAATTTAAATTTCCAGACGAGGAACGAAGTTGCGTTAATTAAATTAATGAAGGATTTAATCAAAATGTCCAGATTTTAAAGACCCAAGAACGATAAAATTGCCATATAGTATACTGCTTTTATTTTTTTAGAATTTAAATTTGTAATCAGATAAAAAATTAAAAAATTGAGTCCAAATTCAATTTAGCCTATTTATTTCAATATGGCCGGCCAAATTCAATTAGTTTAAAAATCTGATTTTTCAGTTGGCTTTGGATTCCATAAGAGATTTTGTGCTTCGGTGCTTGGGACCGACCTATATTCTACCCAACATTTGAAACAGATAAGTTTCATACTTGGTGAGATATTGATAAAAAAACTAGGGTACGCTATCATTTTGATATAGTTTATGATCATTTGGTATTGGACCATCCATTATGGAGAGGGATTGAGAGGAGCTGGGTTAATTCTTGATATCCTGTGCTATTTGAAATAGTACCTAGGTTCTGAACACCAATAGCAGCCATAGGTTCTGAACACAGAACCTAAAGATTTAGGAAGCTTACTTAATCCTAAGACAAAGAAAACCCCGATTTTAAAATTGATTGAATTTTGCCGGCTAAATTGAATTTTGCCTGAAACTGAAATTTTAACACAGCTCTTTATAAAAATTAACTTCAGCCCAAAAAATAATTTTTTTACAAAACTTTATTTAAATTAATCGGTATTTCATTCTCTTCTTTATTAGCATATTCATCTATTCTCGAATGCGAAAGCAAGGATTTTTGGCTTTGTTCGAATTCCAACGATTTTTGATTTTGTAAGGGGAGGTTAACTCCCTTCCAAGTGCAGGCTAATGAGAGCCATTTTTGTTCTGGAGTTGTTTTTTCTTTAATTAGTAGGCTGAAAGTAACACCAATAATTAGGACTAGAAGTAAGGCTAAAATTTTAGATAAAAGATAGATTAGAAGCAGTTTGAGGGCTCCTCAAAGGAATAACCGGTATGGCAATAACCGGTGTGTTATAATGGCGTCTAAAGGGCAATAAAACCATAAAGTAGGTTTGAGGATCCAGATCCAAAAGTCCGGATACCCGAAGGTTTCCCAGGACCCTTTAAATGATTATAAAGCCAGTTTTGTTGAAGCAACCGCTCTTCGTCTTTAGAAAGGACATTAACTAAAGGGAGGACACTCAGAATAAAAAGTCGCTTATAGAGAGAGTTGATAAAATAGAATTAAATAAAATAAATATTTAACTAAAAGTGAATATGCAAAAGGAGATAGCCGACTTAGCAACAAACTTTCCGGATTCCCATAACGATAATTGATATTATTTTGCTTTGAATATTCTTCATACCTTGAATATAAATTTATTTAAAATAATTTTTTAATAAAAAATTTTCGGGTTTAATAGTGTAAGATAATTTTTGGATCATAAAAATTTTAGTCAGAAAAATCCTGCGGAGAAGGGTCAACCATGGTTGGATTATCGAACGAGCCAACCCTGGTGAGCCAACCCTGGTGAGCCAACCCTGGTGAGCCAACCCTGGTGAGCCAACCCTGGTGAGCCAACCCTGGTGAGCCAACCCTGGTGAGCCAACCCTGGTGAGCCAACCCTGGTGAGCCAACCCTGGTGAGCCAACCCTGGTGAGCCAACCCTGGTGAGCCAACCCTGGTGAGCCAACCCTGGTGAGCCAACCCTGGTGAGCCAACCCTGGTGAGCCAACCCTGGTGAGCCAACCCTGGTGAGCCAACCCTGGTGAGCCAACCCTGGTGAGCCAACCCTGGTGAGCCAACCCTGGTGAGCCAACCCTGGTGAGCCAACCCTGGTGAGCCAACCCTGGTGAGCCAACCCTGGTGAGCCAACCCTGGTGAGCCAACCCTGGTGAGCCAACCCTGGTGAGCCAACCCTGGTGAGCCAACCCTGGTCATCCCTACTCAACCCGGCCCCTCTCTACCTGGTAAAGCAAAGAAGTAGAGATACACCATTGGTGGGTTCCTCTACCCCTTCATTAATTTAATTAATCACCTTAACTTCCTCTTTAAATTCTCCATTTCATCATCATAATTTAAACACCCGACAGATGTGAAATTATTTTTTAAATTCCAAGTTGTAATAACAAAATTTTTATAAGGCTGGTTTATATTAGAAAGTATGCAGAGAATTATCATTACAGATATTCCAATAGTTAAGCCAATAAAAGCGCCAAATTTGTTAGCTCTTGGGAAGAATATTCCGAGGAAGAAGAGGCCTACTAGGGGGCCTGAGATTGCTCCTAGTGTTGTTAAAATTATTTGGAAGATGCCCCCAAAGTTGGAACAGGCAAAAGCCATTGAGGTTGCTAAAATGCCGAAAAATACCTGAAAAATTATTTTTAAAAAGTACTTTTAATGGAGAGGCTCTCTCTAATTAAAGGTCCCCTCAATAGAGAGGGCATTCTAGGTCAATTTCTATCAAAAAACGCTCTCTAATAGAAAGGCACTCTCTGATAGGAAGGCATTTTCAAACAAAAAGGTACTACTCTCTAATAGAAGGGTACTCTCTAATAGAAAGGCACTGTTATAGGAAGCCATATTCTATTAAAAATTTCTCTCTAATAGATATTCTTTATTAACCTACCGAAATCAATTTCATCAGTATAGACGTCTGATTATTTGTTAATTTCTGTCCAAACTTTGAATCTTTTAAAAAATCTTCCCATAGTACGGCAGTTAATGAATTAATCCCACTACTTGCTGTACTTAATGTAGCAGAAAATATTGTAGCCAAGAAGAGTCCAGGAAGTCCAGGAATGCCTTCTTTCAAAAAAATAAAAGATTATTATATTTTGGTTTAGGAATATTTTTAATTATTTTTGTGAAAGAAATAAGGGGATAAATGTAGCTCATTAAAAAGTATCAAAAAATTTTTGCTAAAGAATTTATCTAGCAATTTATATATTATTCGACGCGGATTTTCGAGCTGCATCGAAAGAAACTTAAATTGACTTGATTGAATAAATTTAGATATAGTTATAAACATAATAATGAAAATTGCCTGAGGGCATATAAATTCTTCAAAATTAATTTAAAATTTACATATTATATAACATTCGACGCGCCTAATCGAGCTGCATCGAATGAAACTAAAATCAACTTGATTGGATGAAAATCCTATATTAAATTTTAGAATGCTTTGTCTGTTTGTTTGTCCGCAGCTTTGAATTTTGCTGTGTTTGGCGTTGTGTTTATTTTTTAATTGAAAATGACAAAATATCCCAAAATGAAAAATAGTGTGTGTTTAGAGAAGTAAAGAAAGAATGTGAATTTTTTAGAATTTGTTTTTCTTTTTTTTTGTTGAATTTTTTATTTTTTTTTTATTTTTTTGGCAATTTTTTTTTGTTTTTTTGTTTGTTAATTGTATTTAAGATGTGTTTTGTTTTTTTATTTGTTAAAATTTGTTTTATTTAAAAATTGTTTTTAGATTCAAAATAAAACAATCTATTATTTAAACAAATTGAGTGTCAAATTGTTGGTTTTCAGTGCTGATATTTTATTTAAGCAATGAGAGTGTCCAACCGGTGGTTAATTTTTGTGAGGTTTGTCTCTTAACTTAAAGTTAGGATTTTGTGTTAGACAATGCGATACTAAATAGTTAATGGTCCTAGATAGTTTGACACAGAGATACTAAGTAGTTGATTGTCCCTGATAGTTTGATACAGTGAGATACTAAGTAGTTGATAGTCCTAGATAGTTTGATACAGTGAGATACTATGTAGTTGATAGTCCTAGATTGTTTGATATTATGTGATACTGAATAGCTGAAAGTACTAGAGTTTGACATTGTGTGATACTAGATAGTTGATTGTGTGATTGATACTAGATAGTTTAGCATTGTGAGATTGATAGTACTAGCAAGGTTGACATAGTGTGATGCTAAATATTTGAGAGTACTAGAGTGACTAACAGTTGTAGTATAACAGTTGTAGTATATATAGTAAAAAAGTTCTTTTACTATTAACTAACAGTTGTAGTATATATAGTAAAAAGTTCTTTTACTATTAACTATTAACTAACAGTTGTAGTATATATAGTAAAAAAGTTCTTTTACTATTAACTATTAAAGTAGAGTAGTACTAAAGTAGAGTACTGAAGTAGAGTACTATAGTTTGACATTGTGTGATACTAAATAGCTTATAATTGATAGTACTAGCAAGGTTGACATAGTGTATGCTAAATAGTTGATAGTCCTAGAGTTTGACATTGTGTGACACTAAATAGTTACTAGAGTGACTAACAGTTGTAGTATAACAGTTGTAGTATATATAGTAAAAAAGTTCTTTTACTATTAACTATCGGTTGTAGTGTATATAGTAAAAAGTTCTTTTACTATTAACTAACAGTTGTAGTATATATAGTAAAAAAGTTCTTTTACTATTAACTAAAAGTTGTAGTATATGTAGTAAAAAAGTTCTTTTACTATTAATTATTAACTAACAGTAATTATTAACTAACAGTAACAGTAATACTAACAGTAATAATTATTAACTAACAGTAATAAGTAAAAAAGTTATATTATATAGTAAAGAAATATATAAAAAGTATATAGTAAAATAGTTAATAGTTAAAAATTAATAGTTGATGATTATAGTTAATAGCTGAAATTCAAAGTTGAAAATCTTGGTTATCAGTTGATGAGATAATAGTTCATAGTTAATAATTAATAGTTAATCAATATTTCTAAAATTTCAGTCCTATTAATTAAAAATAATTTTAGAATTAATGTCTGTTTGTCTGTCTGTCCTCAGCTTTGAATTTTGCTGTGTTTGGCGTTGTGTTTATTTTTTTTATTAAAAATGGTTGAAATTATGGTGAGCAAAAAGGGTCCCGTAAATGGGTGAAAAGGTCTGGCAAAGGTTGGAATAATGGTGACCGAAAAGGGTCCCGTAACTGGGTGAAATAGGTCTGGCAAAGGTTGGAATAATGGTAAGCGAAAATGATCCAGTAAACTGGTGAAAAGGTTCAGGCAACGGTGGAAAGAAAGGATTTCGAGCAATAAGCAAGAGAAAAGTGACCGTCACATAGCTTGAGAAAGGGATTCGCAAATGAACAAGATAAAAGTGTCCGTCAATAGGAAAGAGGAAATAGTCGTTAATAGGCTTGAGAAAACGGTTCCACAATGGGTTAGAAAAAAGCGGTGGTGACTGAGTTAGAAGTCTGACAACGGTTAATTGACAAGGGTTGTTAATAGTTGATATTTAATGTTGTTAATATTTAATAGTTAAAAATTAATATTCTAAGGTTGGTTAATAGTTGTAAATTAATATTTGAAAGTTGGTTAATAGTTAATAGTTGAAATAGATATTAATAGATGAAAATTGAAAGTCTTAGTTAATAGATCAATCATTGTTAATAGTTAATAGTGAAAATTGATAGTTAATAGTAGACATAGATATTAATAATTAATAGTTGAAAATTGAAAGTCTTAGTTAATAGTGGAATCATTGTTAATAGTGAACATTGATAGTTAATAGATGGCATGGATATTAATAGTTAATAGTTGAAAATTGTTAGGTAATAGTTAATAGTACATAGATATTAATAGAGAATAGTTGAAAATGTGAAGTCTTAGTGAATAGTTGAATCATTGTTAATAGTTGGAAGTTGAAAGTTTTAGTTAATAGTTGACGACTGAGTATGAGGTGTTTTAATTTAAGTTTATGTAATGTTTAGAATTTGGCTAGCGGAAGGGGCTCGCCCGAAGGGCGACCCCCTCCGCTAGTAAGTTAAGTTATACCCATAATAACAAATATTGCCTGAGGGCATTTATCTTTATTTTGTCTTATTTCTTATCTATTTGAAATAGATTACCAACATATTATACATCATTCGACGCGCCTCATCGAACTGCATCGAATAACACTAAAATCAACGTGATCGGATAATTTTGGGCAAAGTTATACCCAAAATAACAAACATTGCCTGAGGGCATTTATCGTTATTTAGTCCTATTTCTTATCTATTTCAAACTAAATTACCAAAAATTCTATTAGCCATTAAAATAGTCAATTGATCCATTGTTTTGACTTCCTTAAGTGCCACAGGGTCACAGCCTTGGAAAAAGGCGACCATTAGAAATCCGATATAGGTGATCATTAATTCTGTATAAAATTTTTCTATTTGAGAGATAAAATTCGGAAACTAACGTATAATTATATTAGCTGGAATTGTTAAATTCAATACTCGATGAGCATGTTCTAATGAAGGCATTGAACAATACTAGAAAAATATTTTTAAATGAAATTTTTCCTTATCCTCTCAGGAAGAGCCCCAAAAAAATTTTTGATTAAAGTGAGAGATTAAAAGACCTACATGGGGAAGGAATATTGGAGAGGAACACACGGTTCTCATGTGGTATAAGAAAATATTTTATAATAATTTTTGGTTAGGTTCTTGCTTGTTTGTAATGTTCCTGTCAAGAGATGTGTCGAGTTTTCTTCGAAATTTTCTTCGGATAGGCGGGTTTCAAATTGAAAATGTCTGGGTTTCCTGTTCAAGTCTGGGTTGGACTACCGTATAATATAAAAAATTTTTATCTTTCACCCTTTGCATAGCCATTTGATTAAGGCCATAAATACAAATCCAGTTTGTAATTCCTCCAAAAATTTCTAACCAAAGGTTGCCATACTGTATAAATTTGAAGTTAAAGGCGAAAAAATATGATTACTTGTAAAATTGAAGGATTTAAAATGAATCCTTGCGCAAATCTGCCGGTTAAACTATTAATCTGTAGAACATGGCTAACCCCTCCTGAAAAAATTTTTTTTGAAAATTTTTTTTTAATTTTCAAAAAATCTCAAAAAAAGTTCGCAAGCTCTGACCTGCTTCAATCGTTCCTTTCACAATAATTATGCCAAGCCCCAGATAAATAAAAGATGCCTGGAGGGTGTCTGTCCTTAATTTTTATAATAAACTAAGATTTTTTTATAAATTTTCTTTTACCAAATAACCGCTTTAATCCCACCAGCAGCCGTGTAAAATGTAGAGACAGTCCCTACAAGGAGTATAAACGGCCATAATGGAAGTGAAGTTACTCCAGACAATGCTATTGATGGGGCGTAGATTACTACCTTTATTTTGGATTTTTAAAAAATTAGATAAGAGTTAAATTAAGGTTAGTACAGAGTCGAACCTCTCCCTATAAGATACCCTCTTGCTAGAAAAAGAAATTTTTTATCTTGAAATTTGTTGAAAATTTTCGTGAAAAATTATTGGAGATGAATAAAAGCTCACATTCAGTGGTTAAACCCTAATTTTAAAAGCCTATCTTAAACTGAGGTACTATATCCAATATTGGGTGTCTATAAAAATGAGTGTTTAGGCTAAAGTTTGACCCCGAATCCTGAGGGCACGTTTTTCTGTGAGCGTTGGAGTATGACTGACAGAATAACACTCACAATTTATTGTCAGTCATTCTCCAACGCATCCAAAAAAACGTGCCCCCAGGATTCGGGGTCAAACCCTAGTTTAGGCTGAGGTAGGACATCTGACCCTTCGGTGTCAGAAAGTTCTGAATCTGTGTTTGGGTTGAGAATAATGAAGTCGGAGTTCTAAGAATTTTCGGGGCAAAGTTAAAATTTTTATAGGGATTCTAGGAGACGGAATCGGGGTCCATCTCTAGTCTTGAAATTTTTTAATAGGAATGAAAAGTCCTTAAGTAATTTTAAAAATTTATTACAGCCATGTATATGAGCGTGTTTAATGTGAAAATGAGTGTAGCAATCCTTCGGAGTGTTCTGCTGTTAAACCTCATTTCAAAATACTCGTAAGCATTGAGGCACTAAATTAAATTAATTTTTTTTCTTAAAATTGGGAATAAACTTTGGGAAAGCTATATCTCTAAATATCTCTCAAAATTAAGGAATACTGGGCCTCTGGATAGGCGAGATTGAAAAAAGACGGTTCGAATTTTCAAAAATTTTCTCGAGTTCAGATCGGGCTGAAAAAAAGTTGGTTTTCGGATAGCCCGGTCCATTCCAGCTGGTCGTGTTTAATGAAAATGAGTGTTCGATTTCAATTGTTTCCAAATTTTGTCCGCAAATTTTCTTTTAAATTAGTCAAAAAAAATTTTCAAAATTTACCTTAATTTTATAAAAAATCGGAATAAAGAAAATTCCAATAATTGGAAAGGCTAAAGTTCCAGCCATTGTATAGATAAACAATCCAGAGCCTTTAGTATAAATTTCGGCGGGTACTCCAAGTAGACCAATGCCAGAAACAAAAGTAGTTAATAAGGAGAGGCAAACGGGGAAGACTGGAAGGCGACGGCCTCCATCTAGAAAATCCCCTGTTTTCGAGTTTTGTTGGGGTTGTTGTTCTGATTTTGAAGACAGGGAACGTCCTATTCCGTGGTAGAGACCAACAAGGAGTGAAAGAAGCAGAAAAATGCCAAAAACCCCGAAATCGACTAGGGCAAACATTTTAAGCTGTAAATTGCTTTAGTTGTTGGGAAGGAGATATAAAAATCAGAATTTAAGAAATACAAAAATCAGAATTTTAAAAACCAGAATTTTAAGAAACTACAAAAACCAGAATTTTAAATCAGAATTTCTAAAAAATAAAAATCAAAATTTTTATTTTAAAACAATTTTAATAATAATTCTGATTTAAAAAGTTTTGTATATTTTTATTTGATTAATAATTCTGATTTTCAATTTAAATCAGAATTAATCAGAATTATTGGTTTCAGAATTCGAATAATTTAGTTTAAGCTGTATTTAAAACCAGAATTTTTAAATATCAGAATTAATGTGTTTTTATTATAAAATCAGAATTTTTCAAACAGAATTATTTGTTTTTAATATTAAATCAGAATTTTTAAATATCAGAATATTTGTTTTTAATATTAAATCAGAATTTTTAAATATCAGAATATTTGTTTTTAATAATTTAATTTCAAAATCAGAATTTTATTTTTATTGAAGAAACAATTTATTTAAAGAACAACAAAAATGATATCAATAATTTGATAACAAAAATACCTATTAAAAAGGAATTCGTACTAAAATTTTGATTCATAAACAAATAAAAATACAAAATATATTTTATGAATTTATACATTAATTGGATTTAAATTTTATTTGATTTCTGAACTTAATTTGGGTCGGAATTTCGATTTCTGACTTCCAAGTTCCAAAAAAATTTGATTTCCGATTTCCGGTTTCCGACTTTTGAGCCAGTTCCGATTTTTGGCTCTTCCGATTTCCGACACATCTGACTGTTCCGACCCACCTCTGTTAACAATCAAAATCCGGCTTAACGTTTAATCTACCCTGTATGGCAACCATATTTTTAGTTTTTCTGCATGAAAGATGTCGTACAAGTGAGATCCCAAGGACTAAGGGACCCGATTCGGAGCCTCATTTCGCAGCTCCGGTTCAAAACAGCATCGGATTAATTTTCGATTTTTAAACGGACACTATAAAGATGAGTGTTATAGTGTGAAGGAAGAAGCATTTTTTGCCTCATTATTTCCACGTTTTTTTTTAATTTTTAATTCACTCAAAAAACGAAATTATAAGCCTTTTGTTTGTCTTTATTATCAAAAATAATATTTTTTTGAAATTATTTAAATCAATTTTGCGTCTTATCAGTTTGTGACAAAAAGGGGTTTAAAAAATTATTTTTTAAAGAAAATAATGAAAAATTAGAATGTTTAATAAGCTTTAAAATTTTAATTTTAGTAAATTTTTGTAGGGGGATTAGTTAGTGATTTTATTGTATTTTTTGATTTTTATAGTTTGTTAATTTTTAATTTTTGGTGATTTAAAAGAAAACCCGTTTGAGGTAATATTTGGATAAAACAATGGAAGAATCTCTATTTATCGCACCTGTGGATATTTAAACTTCTAACTAGGGGTTTGACCCACGTCCCCGACGAAGAGATTTCCTGAGGGGAACGGAGAGTCTCCTCAGGAGCCCCGTCCTGAGTCCCCGCACGGTTAATAGACAGACCGGACTGGGAGTGTCTTAAGAGAATCGGGGTCTTGAAAAAGCTCCCGTCTCATTTCGAGCTCCCGTCTCATCCAGATCCCTATTTAGTACCTTGCAACCTCGTCGGTCTTTGTAAAACCTGTCTCCGACTGGAAATGTCGACCTTATTAACTACATGGTAGAAGAGGTGCCTAAAGAGGGCTTTCAGTTAAGGAAGGCTAAGGAAGAGTCTTTCGGATATCCCTAAGCTTTCGAATATCCCTAACTATCTAGATAGCTCCTCAAGAGATTGGATAAGACATGATATAATTTTGGACCACATTCCCACATATCTCAATTCCTTTGTTATTCTAGCTTAAAAAGGTCTAAAGGGGTAGGATAGATATGTAGAGATTCTACTGTCAAAAAAAAGTTTTTATCATTTTAATTTTTATTCTATTTTGGTATTCTTCCATTTCTTCTTTCCTCCTCATCTTTTTCCTCAATTTTCTTCCTTCTCCTATTATCATCCTCTTCATTCTCTTCCTTATTCTCCCCTTTATTTTCTCCCCCACTATTTTTGCCAATCTCCTCTATATTATTAATCTCCTCTACTACTCCTCCTTCCTCTACAACCCCCTCCACATCTTTCTCAGCCTCTTCCCCTCCTTGTTGTTCTTTCAATTCCCCATAAGAAACATTATAATAGTCTTTAGAAGCATCCAATTTTAAATAAGAATATTCATCGCTAACGGTTTCTAATTGAAGGGCTAATTGTTGCCTTATAGCAGCAAAGTCTAAGCGCATTCTTGGATCTGCTGTCCAACAGGCACACATTACTTTGTAGCTTTAAATTTTGGGGAATTTTTAATTATATTTTTAAATTAGGAAAAACTCTCTGATTTTGTGAAGGGAGATTATGGCAAGCTCGGAATCCCGTCTATCCTTGGAACTAACTCTGAGACCTTGCTATTGTTGACATCCTGGTTAGAATAAGAGGGGAAAATCTTTCTCTTTCTTTCTTTTTCTTTTTAATCTCCCTCTTTCTCTATCAAGGAGAGGGTGAAGTAAACGTCTCGATTCTTGGAATATTTTTGATTTTAGACATGCATCTATGGGAGATTATGACAAGCTCGAAAGTCTTCCATCCTTGTTGACTACCTCAGAATCCCTAGGAAACTACCGTATTTACTGAACTAATTACCTCCATGGATCAAGTTAAGGAGAACCCCATGAATTGTCGATCGGTCTGATCAACCCTGAAGCTCTTCCTATTACCTTCCCCCGCTCTCTTCCTTTCCCCTTAATATCCTTCTATATTCTGGGTATGGTTCCACTATGCTTTATTGATGAAAAAATTTTTGGAATTAAAAATCTCTCTCACTATTCATCCGGACAATTGTCTGGTTGAGCAATACGACGGCCCGACTCCAAAAATGCGAGCATATCGTCAGGCTGAATTCCAGGGTATGGAGTGCCTCCCAAAGTGATTATTTCGAACATGAGAATGCCAAAAGACCAGCTGATGAAGAAAAAAATTAATTTTTGGGACAGATTTTTTGGTAAAAAACATACACGTCAGAACTAGTAGTAAATTCATAATGTCGAATAGCCTCGGGGGACATCCTTTGAAAATTTATTTTAATTTTCAAAAATTTTTTCTGAAAATTTTCCCAGTTACCATTTGATAGGCAATCTTCCACCTCTTCCCTTATAATTCGAACTATCCGCATAAATAAACCGGCAAAGCCCAAAATCCCCTATTTTTGCATGTGTTTTGTCGTGCACAAGAATATTTCTAGCAGCAACGTCTCTATGTACAAAACCTTTTTGGGTCAAATATTCCTTAAAATAAATTATAATAATTAAATTTTAGTCAAAATAAAATTAATTGAAGGCAAAAGGATTCGAACCTATACCTATTAAAATAAGCACTCAGAAAATTAATCCACTTAACCAAAAAAATTAATTTTCCATTCATAAAGGTGGACTAAATTTAAAATGGACTAGAGTTAACTTAAAATCGTGAAAATTTTCTCAGATATAGCTAACAGTGTTAACCTACTTCTCTAAAAATTTCAAAAATTTTGGTTCAGAAATTAGAAAGTTATGAGCAAAAAATCGACATTTTCCTAAAAATCTGAGCATTTCTGAGCAATAACTTAAGAAATAGACAATCAAAAATTCTGAAATTTTCAGGAATATTAGATAAGAGTATCTAGGAGAACCGTGCAAAATTTCACAATTTTAGGTTAAAAATTAAATTTTCTACAACCGAACGCTCAGGCGTTGTTGAATCAACTGATAGGTTCTAATGGTAGATTTTACTGACCATAACTTAATAAATACCAAACCAAAAATTACAAAATTTTTAATAATGTTAGATAACACTATTTTGAATGTTTATACAAAATTTCAGAACTCTGGGTTCAAATTTGTAATTTTTATAGGTGCACGCGCAGGCTACGTCAAGTCCTCATTTTAATTTTGAGCATTATTTAAATTAAATTAAAAATTAAATATTTAAAAATCTCTACCAATCCATAACTAATTTGTACAGAGAACATTAACAACTGTTTTACAGTCATAATCATAGAATGATCAAATTCCGTCCCACAATCGGGGTCGGAATAATTAATTCCGGCATCATCCAATTCAAGCATGTATTTACAACGAATGCGGAGAAAATGGAGTAAATCGCTAAGAAAAAAAAATTTTTTTTGAATTTTAGAAGATAAATTTGAGTTGAAATTTATTTAAAAATAATTTTCAAATAATTTTAAACTTCCAAAAAAATTTTAAAAAATTTAAGAAATCTCCCCTCACCCATCACTGCAATATTCAACAACCAAACAATAGGGTTCTGATTGCATTACACAGGCTAACATATTCACTAATCTCTCGTGATAACCCAAAGTTTTCATTAAAGCTATTTCACGTAGAAATTCACTTTTGGATATATCATCGGCGTATTCTGATTTTTAAAAAAAATTAAGGTTATTGAATTTAATTAGTAATAGGACCATGTATTTTGATAGGGTGTGTTTGTCCACAAGTGAATGACCTTTTGCGTTATTTATGATATCTTTGGATAGAGCATAGAATTTGCTATAAAATAACAAAAATCCAGAATTTTTGAGAAATATTCTGATAAGTTATGGCCAAAAAACTGCTTAGCTGATGAAAAATGAGTATTTGCCGCAACTTCATTTATCAGTACTTTTTGTTCTAATTTTCAAAAATTTTGATTTTAAGGGATTTGAAGCTCATTCAATTCTCTATCAAATGATAGCATGTATACATACTTGGAAAGGTTAATTGACTAAAAAGTTATGGCCAAAAAGCTGACTAGCATCTTCTAAATTTCGTTATTTCTAAATGTTCTTACTTCAGAACTTTTTGTTCTGAATTTCAAAAATTCTGATTTTAAGGTATTTTGTAGCTAATTTAATTCTCTATCGAATGATACCAAAAACACCCAGATCAGTTATTTTGTTAGCTAGTTATACTCGATAGAATTCAACTAGGTCGTTGCTCAAGATACAGTAACCCTACAATTTAAATAAACACCTGGCAACATTTTAACAGCCACAAGTGCATTTTCAGCTCTCAAAAGGCCTTAAAATTTTAAAATTTAATTTTAAAAAATTTTCACAATTCCATACCTATACTTAAATTATTCCCTGCAGCCTTTAATCGACTAATACCAACCAATTTACCCAAATAAACAGCTCCAAATGCTCCTGCGCCAAGCTTTTTCTCTTCATAAATAATCAGGTTTCGCCTTTCCAGTTCCCATGGATCTTCTCTATATTTTTAAAATTTATTTTTGTGAAAAAGTAAAAATAAATTACCGTATTTCCTCTATTAGAATGGCCACCTTCATTTGAATGGCCCCCTCTAATAGAATGGTTCCTTGGAAGATGATTGAAAAATAGAATGGCCGGGAGTTCTATTAGAGGAAATACGGTAGTCTTGTGGGGCCCTCTAGGAGGCTAAAAATAGGAGCATTCTAAGGGTCATTCAATAAACGGGATAAATGAGAGACTTGGAAAGATAAATGTGATTAAAAGATAAATGTGATTATTGCTAGATATATTATGGTTTCGAGGGTGTGCCAGTTTCGATTTTCACTTTTTATCTCCATGCCCTTTATTTAATATACGCCTCAGTATAAGCTAAACTTTTTAACCCCTAAAGAGATCTTGTAGTGAGGTCAAACTAATTTTTTGAAAAATGCCAAAAATCACTTTCTAGCAGGGAAGTCCATATATCTCTGTTCTCTATCCCTCCGCATAGCCTCAAAAGTTTCACGTTTCTTTTTTAGTTGATTCTTTGAACGTCGAATCCAAAAGAAGATGGCAATGACTGAGACAACCAGAAGAAATATTAATAAAACAGCACCGCCAATCATAAAGCGGATAAATCGTTTTGCCTGAAAAAAATTTTTTGAAAAAAATTTTTTGAATTTGAAAAACCTCAAAAAATCTTAAGAATGAGAAGAAAAATTAAATTTCATTATTTTCCAAGTAAATAGCAACAAAAGGATTCGAACCTTAGTCATTTTCAGTGTAAAATCCTAAGCATATCCTACTACACCAAAACATACAAATTACCTTATATCCCTCAATTCGTCTCCTTTCTTCTTCCTCTTCAGAGTTTTCTTCCTCATCACCTTCCAAATGCTTCCCTTTTTGCAGATAAATTCCAAAAGCTTTTGGTTTTATAGATTTATCTGTTGTATTCACTTCAGGAAATGTTAAATTACGAGGATCAAGTACTGCACATAACACTACCTTTTTAAAAAAATTATCAGCTCTCATTAATACCGACTCTCATCTCAAGCTAATGCCAAAGCTGAGTCTTTACTCTTCGGCTAATTTCAGTTGTAAGTGGGAGGTCGGTGGATTGATGCAGAGGTTAATAGTAAGCATTCTGCCTTATCACACTTAACGGTATCAGTTTGTATTGGAGCATTAATTTTGGAGCTTGTGGCGACTCATAAACACACCGCAGCCCCACCCCCGTAGAAAGCTCACACTTATCATACCCCTGTTTATATTCTAATGACCGCCACTTATCGCGATGAATAAAGGTTTGGAAAAGGTGGACTAAAAAATGTCAGAAGAAACTGGTACCCTCCCAACCACACCCAAATATAATACTTATAATTACCCCATATTTATTTCCTTTCTTTAGACCATTCAAAATAATTGAATTGTTTGATATAAGATGCTAAAAATGATTAGGTAATTTATTAATAATCTCCTTAAACTAACTTTGCAAATTTTATCCTCTCCAAGTTTATCACAATTAGTTTCTTGGCCAATCACATTTGTCATATTTACACCACTTAGAAAACGCTAAATAAAAAATTTTTAATGTGGGCGTTTATAGGAGAGGTAGACTCTTATGAGTCGTGGGCGTTTATTGGAGAGATCGGCGTTAATTAGAAGGTAGTCTTTAATCCGAATATAGGCGTCAATTGGAGAGGGTGCGTTAATTAGAGATAAGAAACATGAATTGTGTGGGCGTCAATTAGAATAAAATTTTCCCCTCTGTTTACCTCATCATTGCCTTTATAATCAACAGCATTTCCATACAATGCCACATAATATTTTGGTTTCAAATTTAAAATTCTTCGAAGTGGTTCGAAGGTAATATTGACAGATATACTTTTTTCATTTGTTTTTGGGTCAGGTGTCTTAAAATCAGAAATTATAGAAAATTCTGTTATGGTCTGAATTGAATTCTGATTTAAATCAGAAAAAAATCAGAATTTTTGTCAGAATAAAAAAATCAGAATTTTAGAAAATCAGAATTCTGATAGAAAATTAAAATCAGAATTTTTATTAATTCTGGTTTTAATTCTGATTTTAATTCTGTTTTAAAAATCAGAATTCTGATAATTTTATTTCCTTACCTGTCCAATAACAGTATAATTGAAGTTTTCGAATTGACCACAAATAGGGGCAGATGCCCTGTCATCTTTTTTACAAACTCCATTAGGTACATTTTCTGAGCCGGTTACTGTATTGCAATCTGAGTGAGAGGGATTTTAAAAATTAAACAAATTTCAGAAAAAATCAGAATTAACTCAGAATAATTTCAGAATTATTTCAGAATAAATCAGAATAATTTCAGAATATTTCAGAAAAATTTTCCGAATTATTTCAGAATAATTTCAGAATAAATCAGAATTATTTTTAGAAAATTATCAGAATAATTCAAAAAATTTTCAGAATATTTTCAGAAAAAATCAGAATAATTTTCAGAATTATTTTCAGAAATAATATTAACTAAATTCAATAGATTCGTAATCCTTTTGCTCAGCTGAGACAGTAAATTGCCTTGAACATCTGCTAGAATGAATCTCCTCTACTGCATAAACAAATCGACAACGACGAGTAAGGATATCGGCTCCTTTAAATTAATTTAAATTTAATTTTAAAAATTATTTTGTACCTAAATGGGTTGTTACTGTGTCTGGTCTGGAACCTGGACTCTGAAATAAATGATAAAAAAAACCAGAATTTGTAAAATAAAAAAATTGAGAAAATGTAATTATTGGAAATTGTAAAAATATAAATTTCAGCATATGTAAATTAAAAATCAGAATTTTTAATAATTTTAAAACAGAATAATCAGAATTTGTAAATTAAAAATCAGAATTTGTGTGTTATTAAAAATCAGAATTGTAATTATTAAGACCAGAAATTGTAATTTCAGAAATCAGAATTTGTAAATTAAAAAATCAGAATTTTTAATAATTTTAAATCAGAATTTTATTTTTGAGTAATCAGAATTTGTAAAAAAGAAATCAGAATTTGTGATCATTAAAAATCAGAATTTTTAAAATTAATAATCAGAATTTTAAAAAAATTAAAAATCAGAATTGTAATTATTAAGACCAGAAATTGTAATTTGAAAAATCAGAATTTGTAATTTTAAAAATCAGAATTTGTGATAATTAAAAATCGGAATTTGTAATTCTAAAAATCAGAATTTGTAAACAAGACGTCTAAGTTTAACTGCTATAAGTTAGAAAGATTGTAAAAAAATTTTACTTTTTAATTTAAAAAATATTTTTTATTATTTTCCTTACAAATTCAGGCACAGGCATTGCTTGATTCAAGTCAGGCTCTGCACAACTTAATAAATGAAAAATTGGAATAACTTCGAGATCTTCAATTCCAAAAGGCCAACCTTTAAATTTAATTAAATTGAATAATTTTTTAATTAAATTACCATCAAATTTAAATAAAAGTTCAACGTCTAAGGTGCCATTTATTTGGAAACCGTCAGATATGAAAGGAGTATCCTGTAAAGTTTTAAATAAAATTCTGAAATTTTATAGGTATTTATTTCCCTAATTTAATTTCATGGCAGAATTTTATTTTTCAAAAATCAGAATTTGTAAATAAAAAAATTTAAAATTGTAAATTATATTAAATGAGAGTTTGTAATTTAAAAAATCAAAATTTGTAATTACAAAAATCAGAATTTATAAATTTAAAAAATCAGAATTTGTGTTTTTCAAAAATCAGAATTTGTGTTTTTCAAAAATCAGAATTTGTGTTTTTCAAAAATCAGAATTTGTAATTTTTATAAATCAGAATTTGTAATTTTTATAAATCAGAATTTGTAAAATTAAAAACCAGAATTGTAATTACAAAAATCAGAATTTGTGTTTTTCAAAGATCAGAATTTGTAAATTTTAAAATCAGAATTTATAATTTTTAAGAATCAGAATTTCTAAGTTTACAAATCAGAATTTGTAATTTATAAAAATCAGACTTTGTAATTTTTGAAAATCAGAATTTGTAAATATTAAAAATCAGAATTATCACAATATTCTCTTACATTATACGTAGCAGCAAAGAGTTCCATTTTAGCCGGAATGAGCGGCTTTTTCTCCTCCAAATTTAAAGGATTTGTAAAAACCCCAATTCCTTTAGATTGGCTAACAGCAGCCAACCGTATATTTATTGGACCACAAACATTTTCTGCAGAAGGGAAAGCCATTCCAGAATGGCTAAGTCCTCGGGAGAACTACAAAATTTGGGGGAATCTTTAAAAAGGGGGGCATAAACACAAACAATTTGGGCACTTTTTCTTTCAGGAAATTCAGCCTGTAGTCTAATCATGTAGATTGGGACATGTTCGCTTTCTGGGCCAATTCCAGGCTTCCAACTAACGTCTATAAAAATTAATTTTAAAATTTAAATAGAGGTGTAACTCGCTATAAGATCGAACCTTCCTTCAATACCTCTCTATAAGATACTTTTTTTAATTTGCTTAGCCATAGAGAGGATTATCCGAAACCTGGACCTCTTCGGAACTAAACCCGACACAAGAAATTTTTAAAAACCCATCCCGAAGTTTTTAACTATGCGACCCATCTTTAGTGAGGACGAGAAGAGCTTCTAAAACGATACCTTCGATCTAAGATACACTCTATAAAAGGATATCATCCTATCTTTCAACTCCAAAAGTTTTTGGAGTTTTCTCCTCAATTTAAGTCCTTAAAAATAATTTTTTAACCAATTGTGTAGTTATCATTTATGGTTGCTTGAACTTCTGTTGGTGGAGAGAGAGGAGGGCCTTCTGCCTTTTTTGAACTCAAATCTTTGCATTTCCCCCAACATTCAGAATCTTCTTTTTGCTAAAACTTGATAATTTTTTTAATTTGTTGGAAATTCAAAATTTTACGAAATTTTCAGAAATTTCCAAAAAATTTTCAAAAAATCTTTGAAATTTCCAAAAAAAAAATTTTTGGAAATTTCAAAAAAAAAATTTTTAATTTCAGAAAAAATTTTGAAAAAAATTAGAAAATTTCCAAAAAAAATTTACAAAAATTTTCGAAAAAATTTTCAAAAAAATTGAAAATTTACGAAAAAACAATTCAAAATTTAAAACAAAATCCAAAATTATTTTCAAAAAAAATTTTCCAAAAATTTTTAAAAATTAAATTTTCTCACACATAGCCCTTGCTGTCCATATTTTCTACAATTTTTTCTACACTGATTTAAGCTAATTTCTGAATTTTCTTCTGTACATTTAGCTAAACAACGTCCATAGCATTGCACGGGGGAAGGGATTTCTGGTTGTGGGGGTCCATGACAAATTACAAAATGATAAATTAATTGGAGGAAAATGTTGAAAAAAACGATAAAGTCTTGAATATTGCCCATTTTTTGAGAATATTTTTTAAAAATATTTTACAAAAGCATTGTAAATAGGGCTAATAAATAAGCCTTAAAATGGTGTTTATATTAAAATCAGAATTAATGTTAAAATCAGAATTTAATAAAATATAAATCAGAATTAATTAAAGGACGAAAACACAAAAATCAGAATTTACTAAAAATACAAAAATACCAGAATTAATTAAAAAAGACGAAAATACAAAAATCAGAATTTACTGAAAACACAAATCAGAATTAATTAAAGAGACAAAAATCAGAATTTAATAAAATACAAAATCAGAATTTTCCAAGGCAGACTTAAAATCTAAAGCCCAGAAAATAAATTACAAATGAATGGGTACACCCCGATGTACCGCGAGCCCAATGTATCGCCGAGCTATAACTTGGTTCAGAATTATTGAATCCGGGACGCCTTGGTATGGTCCGATGAGCTATATGTAAAGCTAAAATGTCCCTACTTCGGTGGTATCGCATAAAAAAATTTTTTTGAAAAAATTTATTAAAAGTTCAGTCAAATTTTTTTAAAATTTAGCTCAAGTCGAGGTCCGACTTGGAAAATTTATTTTTTATGTATAACTAAGTATATGAAAAAACTTATCTAAAAATTTAAATAATTTTTAAATTGTACTAAAAATAATTTTGGCAGGAATTAAAATTTATCTTACTAATAATGATTAGTAAATTTTTTTGTAAATATTTCCACGAACGAAAAACTTGTTTTATTAAAGAGCAAACGTGGCAGTTCAATATATTTACATAAATTGAATATTGCGGGTCATTCTCATGAGATTGATCCAAAAGATCAAATATTGTTAGAAATTTAAAAACACAACAAAAAATCTCCCTATAAGATAACGTGATTCGCTGATATCTCCTAAATCCACAGTCTCAAGTGTTTTGACTTTAATTAGTTTGTATTTTCTTTATAATATAGGGACTAATTTGTAAGTAAAATAAATGCACTCGGGACGTCCGAGACTAAAGATTTCATACAGGAATGCAAGCTATTGGAGGTGGGCATTTTCGAAATCATGGAGCTGGATTCTGGATCTAGGACAGTAACCTGGACAGGAGTCTGGATCTGGATCCAAGAAAAATCCAGACCGGATCCAATCCAGACTGATCTCAAAAAGCTATCCAGATTAAAAGTCGACCGATCCCTAAATCAGTTCTCTAATAATTTAAGGGTATTGGGAATCAAAAAAAGAGGAAAAGCCCTTGTTAAAAATTTTTTTTAATTTATTTGTGGTCTAGTGATGTCAAAGAATATTTTTAAAAATATTTATTTGTGTAAACGAACACAAAAAAGGCTATAATAAAAATTTAAAATTCCTCAAATAGGTATATTGATTTAAATAAATTTTATTAATATTTTTATGATGTTCCTTTTGCGTATGTTAAAATAAACTTGCCAATAAAATAAAAAAAATTTTTAATCGTACCAAATAGTAACAGTTTTATAAGGGATTAAAAATGAGAGGGGGGGAATAAATAATAATATTCTAATAATGAGGAGAGGAACGGGAAAAGGAGAACAATAAAAAAGAAAAAAATCTCGTCCCCTGATAAATTATTAAGGAAAGTACAGTCAAGGCTCTCTAATTATCACTCCGGGACCGAATTAAACTGAACTATGATGGAAAGCAGAGGTGAGTCGGAATTCCGATTTCCGACACCTCTGACTGTTCCGACCCACCTCTGATGGTAAGGCGTCTATAATATAAAGACCCACTCTACTATCTAATATATCACACCGGGACTAAGGTGAACTGACATATGAGGAATGTGACATAGAAGTGGCCTGTGATATTTGAGGTTCGACTATACTGAATTATACATGAAAGCCAGAGAGACCAATGGACCTCGTTCAAAAAGAAGCCTAAGTTATCAAGATCAGGATTTTTCGGGATAACAATCTCGAATCTGTATAGATCCTCAAGCTTGTTAGCCTGGAGAATCTAAAATGTGTCATGGATAAAGCTGAATGGAGGTGAAATCAGACTTGGTAATGGATACGGATATGTATCCGCTGTAAATATTCGGATATAGATACCAAAATCCATGTCCATTACCAAGTCTGGAAAAAATATTTAATTAATCGAAAAAATTTTTTTAATTAAATACGTAAGCAAAAATTGATTTTAAACCCTTAGAAAATTATTCAAATGCTTAAAATATTTTTTTACAAAAAAAAAATTAATTTTAGGCTGTTCATTTACAAAATCAGGAAATTAATATTAAAAATAGTTTGTGTATCAAACACAAATTTTTGGCCTTCAAAAAATAAAAATGACGATGGGTGGACAAAGCTTGGAGAAAGGAAGGCCATCTACCCGATTATTGGACTTACCTCCTTTTTTCTACTAAAATAATACGCAATCAAATGATTGATCTGCGCGGATTGGAATGAAAAAAAGGAGCATTTTCTCTCTGAGATGAGCAACAACCTTAAAAATGGGTGGGCAGAAGAAACAAAACAGGAGTTGGGGGCCCGCGCATGAATTAGACGAATTTCTCTCTTTACGGGGGAAATAACAGAAATTTTTAAACACGTACAATCGATTTTAGTGGTAATTACCAAATTTATTGATGTTTTTTTGTGTTTTTAAATTAAGATTAAAGTCCATTTATCATTTTTTACTGGTTTAAGTTTTACTCAAAAAAATTTTTTTGAAGAAAAATTATTTTTGGAAGCATAGGGGGGTCGAGGCTTTCTCTCTGAGGAGATGATTAAAAGGAGACGCTAGAAAAAGGACCAAAAAGACCCTAATGACAATTGGAAGAATTTCAGTTTTATGTTAATACAATTAGCCTCTCTTACTACAATCAGTCTTGCTATGAGATACCTCTCTCTCACCCTGAGGCTTAAAGGATTCTATCTTGTATCTTGAATTTATAGTATCACTCTAGAATATCGACAATAGAAGCGTTCGATCAGAATTTTTTTTCCAATTCCCCCTTGTCATTTTCATCAGACCCTCAGTGAACAACAGAATTTAAAAAAGCGTCTCTTAAGTGGGAGTATTTGTGAAAAAAAATTTTTTTTAAGTTTCAACTTAAATTTTAAATCAGCAAATTTTTTTATTCCTTAGTCATACATGACATTTACAAATAAAAAAAGACAATTTTTAAGACTTAATAAAAGAGAAAAAAAATTTTTTAATGAAAAAAATTCCAAAAATCAAGTGTTGTTGTTGTTTTATACCTTTTTTTAACCAAGAGAAAAAAATTTTTTTTTAATTTTTCAAAGTTGAGATGATGCAATATTTTGTTGTTGTTGATATTTTTGTAATGGGCTAGACCCTGCAGATGAACCAGATGATGATGAAGATGTCGGGGAAGTTGTTGTTGGCATAGGAAATGATGATGAAGGAAGATTATTATTATTAGTGTTTTGGCCAGTTCCATAAACCTTTGTTAAGAGAAAATTATTTAAATTTTTGTGACAAATGTAAGTGTTGGAAGAAGAAACCGCGAAAGGTATTTTTTGTATTTTAGCATCAAGAAGAATTAGTTTTTTTTTAAATTCTTGAATTATTAACAGTATGGTCATGTTGCAGAAAGATTTATTCCATGGAGGATCACCCCCTCCTCCCCATGAACGGGAGCTAAACCCAAGCATAACAGACTGTGCTACCGTCCAAACCCATAATCACTTATTTTTATTAATTTTTACAGGGTTTTCTTTCAAATTTCCGAGACTAAATGAAAAATCAAAGGGAATTCCACTAAAATTAGATAAACAAATTTCCCCCCCACCTTAGCCAACCCATCAGCTCCAGCAGAACCGATCATTTGCCTTGAAGGATGAAATGCTACAGCCATAACACCAGAACCAAATTTCTTTCTATGTGCAGCAATTTCCTTAAAAAAAATTTTAGAAAAATTTTTCCCCTTTCTACCTGCAAACAAATTTTCTTTTCAGCATTCCAAAACCGAACAGAACCATCATGTGAAGCACTTAACATATATAAACCGTTTGGATCTATTGCTAAAGTTGATACTCCTTCAACATGCGCCATTGTAGAGCAAATAATTTTGCCTTTAAGGAAAATTCTTTTAAAAAATTTAATTGATCCAAACCCGTATTATTATCAAAGAAACGAATTTTTCTATTTTCACCAGCCGTTATTGTAACAGGCATAGTTGGATGAGATAAAATTTTATTTACTTCATCTATAAAAATAAAATTTTAAAAAAATTGAAGGGGTTCTGTTGTTATAAAATTATAAAAAAATAATTTAAGCAGAATAGAATGCTCAACAATTTTAACACCGAAAGGACCTCAAATGACTTTCGAACCAATAAAACATTCATTGAAATAGGAGTTAGCTAACATAAGAGGATATGAAAAAAACTGAGGCTTCGAAAACTTGAGACTCTTCAGAAAAGAATAAAAATGAGAATTAAACTCAAAAACTATAAAATCCTAAAATTGCTGTAAAATAAGGTTAACGGTTCTAGACCAAACAGAAGAATCGAAGATTTTTCGATTCGGTTTCGGATATCCAAAAATTTTCCAGGAACCGACAACACTAATGTAAAACATACTGATTTTTCAATAGAAAAGTTGGAGGCAAGAATGAGATCCTACCAAGAATTTATTAGATGGTTTTTCGAAAATAAATTCTTAAGCAGATTTATAAATTGAAAGATCATGAAAACTTTGTGGAGTAATCCTTCAAATCCCAGCGCCATTCGAACCCTTTAACAAGCATGGTAACAAGATTTCGCCCATCTTTCATTAACTAATTAAAAATTAAAAAATAACCTCCATCCTCAACTTTTTGAAAATTCAAAACAATTTGTCCAGTTTCAAAATCTCTAATATGACATTGAGAATGAACACAAGCACATAAAAGTTGTTGAGATTCAGTTGAGACAACATCAATAGATCTTGGCTTGTCTAATTCAGTAATTGTTTTAAGTAAAGGTGTAGGCATTGCTCCATCAGCTAATCCAACAACCCTAAAAAAATAAATTTTTTTGAAAAAAAATTTTCTGGAAATTTTCTTTAAGTCCAAAAATTGACAAAAAATGTATAACCACAAAAAAAATTTTCAAAATTTCAAACCCTAAAAATTTGCTAAGATTTTTAATCTCCAAAAAAATTAAAAAAAAAATTTTTAAATTCGAAAAATTAACGAAAATGTTTTTGAAAATTGAAAATTCTCAAAAAATTTGTTAAATCCCTATCGAACACTAAAAAATTATCAAAAATTTGTTCAACCCCTCTCAAAAAAATTTTCAAAAAAAACTTTCAAAACCCTCAAACAATAAAAAATTTCCAAAAAATTTTTTGAAAATCCAAAAAAATTTTCAATAAAAAATCATCAAAACCAACCAAATTCTTATTGTTCCATCAGCTGACGCAGAAATTAACCTATTCGACGAAGAATGATAACTTAATGACCAAATAGCGTCTGTATGTCCATTTAAACGTTCTTGCAATAAATTTGGGTCTATAAAAATTTTTTAATTAAACAAAAAATTCAATTTAAGTAACCAAATGTTTGATAAACATCTAAACCAACAGTTGATGGAATTGTCCAACAACAAATAACTCCATCTAATCCAGCAGTATAACAAGTTTCACCCATTGGAGACATATCCATTGCTAGAATTGCTCCCCTAAAAAATTGTTAAAAAAATTATATTTAATTGAATGATGTTTTGGAAACATATTTTTTGAGTTTAAAATAAAGGTCGAGACTAGTGTTTGGTTTTTAGAAAAAAATTTTCAGAATATTTAAAACGAAACTAAAAATAGGGTGAAAAAATTAGCAGTTTAAACCAACAGTTAGTTGATGGTAAAAGTTTAAATATGTTTTATTTGAGTCGGCGTTTAAGTAACAACAATCCAAAGTTGAGAGTCTATTAGTTGAAGTCATGCCCGTAGCTAGGAGAGATTCCCCCTTCGCCGGAATGGAAAAAAAATTTAGGGGAGGGGATTGAGCAAAAAAGCACTCACTCACCCCCTGGTTAAAATACATTGAGACAGAAAAAATGAATTTTCCAAAATAAATTCTTTTTTGAATTTTTTTGCATGAATTTTTTTGTAAATTCAGAAAAGATCGGGAAGCCTGATAGAAAATTTGAAAAAACACTCAAAGAAAACTCACTCAAAATCAAAGGGTTTCTAATTAAGAAAAAATTTTTTTAAATTTATTTACCGATGTCCTCTAAAGGTATACAAAGGTTCAATATCAGCAATTCCAGTAGACGGAAATCCTTTACCACTACCATCATCATAATTTCCTCCTCCTCCACCAGTTTTTGATCCAACAGAAGAACTATTTAAATCCCAAAGTTTAGCTGTGCCATCCTCTGATGCAGTAATTAAAACAGGCTTAAAGGAAAAATTATTTTATTAACCTCGCATAAAAATTAATTATTTTTAATATTTCAGTCCTTTGGACAACCTATTTGTTTCACTTTTGTGATCGTCTGTTAGCGCGAAGAGCTTGGCCTTATACTACACGGAAAAAAAAGTGTGAGGCAGCTAGGGAGGGAACTAACTACAATAACCAAACTCGAATCTCGACAAAACGACAACATCGTGAAAACCATAAGATGTACAAAGGGAGAAATGAACTCAATGAGAGACGTGTCACCGAGATCAGAGGAAGATTATTGAGGGACGAGCTATCAAGATTCTTGTATAAAAAAAGGGAAGGATCAGCGTTATAGACATTTTTGATCATACATATAATATACAAAAAAAATCTAATCCAGATTTAAATTCGCTCTCGGAAAATTGAAAAATAAAGAAAAAAAGAGGCCAAATACTTTCCCCAAAATTTGTTTAAAGATTAAAAAACACCTCAATAGGATGAAACTGCATTGCTCTAATTGAATCATAATGGGATCTCAACGTATAGTGAACATTCCAATGTAATTGTTGCACATTTTCTTCTTCCTTCTAAAATTAAAAAAAATTTTTTTAATTGAGAACAAAATTTTCATACATCAAAAACAGTTTTTATTCCTTCATATTTTTCTTCTTCAAAAGGAATATCAGCGGCAGATTGACTTTGAGACTGTTGATTTTGTTGAATAGTATTATTGAATTTGTTTTTCTGGTCAGAATCGTCAAAAACACTTCGAGCTGAAAAATTAAAATTTGCAGACCATAAAATCAAAAAATAATAAACCTTTTGCAAGACTTTGCTGACGTCTACGTTCCTGATCATGTCTAAAATTAATTTATAAATACGTCAAAATGCTAATAAAATCAGATACTATCTATTAGAGTTCGACAGCGGGCCGAGCCCAGGATTAGGAGTATTCCAAATCTCTTGTACTTAAATTGTGGTCAGAGAGCCCAAGACCGAGTATCCCACATTTCTTATTTTAAATCATGATCAGAAATTTCTAATAAGAATTATTATTCAAAAAGGTTCTAACTAGGAACCATACGCTACTGTCACCACGAATTTGATATTTTTTGGTACCATTAGATAAAAGAACCCCCGACTTTCTATTGGATAGTGGTATCCGTTTTGTTGCAAAATGACTTTGGGCCGAGTTAAGGCCGGTCAAAATTGAAAAGCTTTCAAAATAATTAAATAGAAAAAAAAAGTCACAAGCGCTAACAAGATGAAAGTGGCATTTAATAAGCCTACAATTTGACAAATTCCCCTCCCCCAAAGTCATGACTCCAATAAATTAAAGTTAAAAAAATTAAATTTACTTGAGCTCCTTTTTCATTTCATCCAATTTCCTCTGCTTGGATACATCCATGCTTTCCAAATTTCCTTTAGGATTCCACACCCTTTCATTTCCACCCTCTTCATTTTTCAAAAAACTAAATTCATTAAAAGCTTCTACAGCGTCTGCATCCAAATCTGCTTCCGCATTGTCATCAGAAGACGAATCACTTTAAAAAAAATTTTTTTAATTAAAAAAAACAGAAATCCATTAAAACCTGTTATCTGCATTTTCAGCATTTTTCTTTAAATTGGACGATTCTTGAAGTTTTTCTTGATGTTGACGTGATTGTTTAATAGCATCGGCAGCTTCCAAAATTGCCTAGAGAAAAAAATTAAAATAATTAATATGAAAAATTCAGAAAAATTTGAAGTTCGGGCCTTTCTCAATAAATATGCATAAGTAGATGTGAAAAATTTTTTTCCTGATTTTCGATCAAATTTATATACTTATTAAATTTTGGGGATCATATTTCTGTATATTACGAAGATGGAAAGGACAGGTAAAAGAAAATAAATCGGGTGGATCTCAGGTCGGGTTCACGAAAATTTCTCAGCTCGAGTAACCCACCCTGCACCTTTACGAATACAGTTTTCTTGATTTTGCACTACATACTAATGAAAAGCAAAGAAAAGTGTTTGAGATAAGGTCTATGTTTGCATGAAAAAGCTATGGGTTTATCATATCTGAGGCCTTTCGAGACAGAGCTGAACCAAAAATAAAAATCCTATTTACTACAGGGTCACATTTAATCGATCAAGATCAAAGCCTATAAAAATTAAACATTTCCTTACATGTTCACTCCGCAAAAGCGCCCATTCAGCAGCATTTGGACGTCGTTCATCATCACTATTAGTTTTTTCTTCCTCATCCATTTTAGGCAACAAACCCAGCAGTTGATTAACTCGAAAAGATCGCAAACTGAGAATTTTGTCTGTGTAGCCAATTTCCTGTATAAATTTAGAAAACTTTCAAAAAACTTCAAAAAAAGCTTCAAAAACATGTAAATATTGCTGCAAAGTCTCTCGAGCTCTATAAAGTTCTTTGTTGCTCAAAATCCCTCCATTTGACGATTGATTGTTGTCATTGGTTTTAGAAGGCAAAATTGAATCTATATCCAATGGTACAGTTGATTTTGTGTTAACAACTAAAATGAAAAAATTATTTTAGGTGATAAGAAAATTAATTAAAATTGAACAAATTCAAAAAGTTTTCTAGACAAGTCCTCTCAAAATCTAATAAAATGTGTTGAAGATTTCAATGGACTCAATGAGAAAAACTGAAAGAAATTTTTGAGGAAAAGTCTAGGATGAAATTTGCGAGTCAATTTTGAAGCTTATGGTTTCCCGCTTAATTTCTCCATTCTTTCTTTTTAAAAGTTCATACGACGGATGCTGCCGACAAAAACCAAAATTCCCTATTTAGAGAAATCGGAATCCCAAACAAAAAAACGTTGGGCATTCCCGATTTTCAGAACGGCAGGATCACTGATTCATACGGATATAATAAGATCAGGAATAAAAATAAAAAACATAAAGTTAAAAATGGCCAATTTCGGACAATCTTATTTATCTAAAAATTTTTCGGACCCGAAAATTTTTTGTAATTTGCAAAGGAAATCTCTAAATAAATTCCAAAAATGTTTCCTCAAAAATGCAATTTACAAAAAAATTTTTAAAAATTACCCAAGTGATTCTGTTCTTCGCCATCTATTTGATCAACTTCACCATTTTGCTGAGGTTGTTCATACTTTTTGATAATTTCCAAGTGTTTAGCTCTGAAAAGATAAAGAAAAATAAATTTAAAAAACTAAAAAAACCTTTCCTGTCTCAATGCCAATTCCAACATCTTTATTCGGCGAACCAAATCAAACTTTAAATTTTCTTGGGATTTGCGTTCTCCAATCAAAAATGTAATTCGTGCCTAAAAAATATAAGAGGGAATTTTAAAATTTTTTTAAAATTAAAAATTAATGATCGGTCTAGAGCTGGATTTAGATCGCGATTTTTCCCGAATCAAGAGCCAAGGAATAGAGAAGATAAACCGGATCAAGCTCAATTTTAGGCTTCCCAGGGACAAAAAAAATTTTTGTTTTGTGATAGCCACAGAGAAAGGAGGAAAGAAATAGGTGAGAAAAAAAGTGAGCCATTCTTACGTTCATTAAAGATAGAAAAGAGGAAACAAAAGATTTTTTCGAGCATCTCAAATAAAGTGCATCCCTAGAGCTGTATCAAGACCGTAATTCTTTCTGAATCCACAGAGCCAAGGAATAGAGATGCCATGGAGTAAATTTCTAAATAAATTTCAAAAATCTTTCCCCAAAAATGAAATTCAATATAAAACTACTAGATTTTCCTTTGTTAGAGATGAAAACTTCCCGATTTTTTTAACCAGATCAAGGCCGGCAACAACTAAAATCACGGTCAAGGATCATTTCTCTCGAAAAATCATGTTCCTCCTAACCAATAAAACAAACAAACTCTAAGCTCCGCTTTTTCAATCTCCCATTGAGACCGTTCAAGTTCATATTGACTGCATTCGTTTTGAAGAAAGTGTAAAACACCAGCCATTGAATAACCTGAGGTATTTTGACTTCGTTTAGACTCGTTATCCTTTTGATCATTTCCGGGAGCCATTGTATTGCCGTTTGCTGTGGAATTTGTAGCAGTTTCGCTTATAGCTAATAATGAGGATCCAATTTGACCAGTTTTTTCCATTAAAAAAATTCTGAAAAAATTTTATAAAGTTAAAAAATGGTAGGAAGGATGAGTAAAAATGAGGCCAAAATCAGGTAAAAAATAAGAAAAAATAAGCTTAAGTGTAAGCTTATTCTTGAAAAAGGCAAAAAGCAAGAAAAATCCTCGGATTTAGACGAAAGAGTACATGAATAAATGAGCGTGGTTAGAGAAAAAGAGAAAAGAAAATTAGAGGGAAACTTAACAATAGAAACAATAGTGGCGTTTTAAAATTTGGTGTTTCGTATTTTACCAGACAACATTATTGATCGATACAGTAATCTTTTCTCGACATTCTACAGTAATTAAATAAACAAGTGAAGTCTGAGAAAGACGCCAAAAGAAGCCAAATACTCTTGTCAACGGTGGGGTATCTTTCCGTGCCCACGATTCCGTGCCCACGATTCCGTGCCCACGTTTCCGTGCCCACGTTTCCGTGCCAGCTCAGTTCCGTGCCGGCACGTTTCCGTGCCAGCATGTTTCCGTGCACACGGTTCCGTGCCCACGTTTCCGTGCCCGTTATAATAGGCACGTTTCCGTGCCAGCTTCTTTTTAATTTAATAAATAATAAAAAAAGATTTGGATGGATACAGTGAATATCAAAGGACTTGTGCGTGACATCAAGATATCAACAAGAAGATAGCGTTGGATTATGAGGGATATAAGGAGATATCAAGAAATTTAGATCACGATTTTAATAGCATTTTGTTTACATATTGGGGAGAAAATTAATCAAAGAAATCAAGGAAAAATTTTGCCTTGACCTTGCCTTGATTCTTGATTTTGGTTGGGTATCTTGACCAGATTCTTGACCTTGAGTCAAGGAAAAATCAAGGTCAGAAAAAATCAAGGAACGCTGAAAAATGCCTTGATCTAGTCTCTGGATCCAGGAAAAATCAATGTCTGGATAGCCCGCTCTCTAAATATCATATATTTAAATATTGGGCACGGAAACGTGCCCTTTATAACTGGCACGGAACCGTGGGCACGGAAACATGCTGGCACGGAAACGTGCCGGCACGGAACTGAGCTGGCACGGAATCGTGGGCACGGAAACGTGGGCACGGAATCGTGGGCACGGAATCGTGTCTAACCGCTTGTCAATACTCGACAGTTAGCGTCTCTTTTTATTATTTTTCTTTCTCTCTCCATTTTCTTAAGACAATACTACGTGTCTCCCTCTTTTCTTAAGTTTGACCTTCATTTTTCGAAATCCTCCGAGTAGGGACGTCTTTGATTTTATCGGGGATCAACTAGGCGCGAGGCCATAACGGCGCAAAGGCGAGGCCATAACGGCGCAAAGACATAACTTGCTGTAAAATTTCTGGCCCATATCAATCTTGGTACCAATCTCTTTATCTGGATGAGAGGAATCGTTTACTACTAAATTTGGAAAGATTCGGAACTCTTGAAGCAAGTTATGGCTTTGCGCCGTTATGACCGCGCGCCGGCGTGTCCCCCTTTGATTTTATTGGATTTTCTTTTAAATACGTGTAATTGCCCTCATATCCATTTTACGTATCTATCTTAAATTAAATACAGAACTGGACTCTACTCATTTTTACGCTTCTTTAGAAGAGAGCTTTGACTATTGTTTTTCGACCGAATTTTTACAAGCAGGATATGAAAAGACAATTTGACGATCAAGACAGAATGTATGGAAACAACAAAAGACATCGTTCTGACGGATATAACGAAGCTTTAGCTGAGGGGAAGTATGAATTGCGCTTTTTGATTCCGACAAAGTCTGCCGGAGCGATCATTGGTAAAGGAGGTGAATCTATCAAGGCGCTCCGTGCGAAGGTTTGTTTGCCTTTTGGTTGTTTTTAAGTTTCTGTCTGTGTTATGTTTCTTTATGGATCTTTCTCTTGACAAGCTTATTTTCGATATTGGGGTCTTTCACCTTTCTTCTCTGACATTCATGGCTTGATAGGACACTAAAGGGAATTATTAGAATATGCCTGCAATACTGATTTAGGATGAGCTTAACCTAGAGTGTCAACTCAGCGAGTGTGTTGACCTCCTGGGGTAGGCTCATGTTTTTGCAAGTTTACCGAACGAATTATCTGAATTTGACTACTCACCTGTTAAGCTTTTCCGCGAAAGGAGCATTTGCGGACTGACATTTGGCAGTGTATGCTCTTTTAAAAAATTCATAGGTAATAGCGTCGGACATGTGTCCTTCTGTCCGTAGCTGCCTTTCCGCAAATGTCTTCCCCAGCCATTCTCCTTGATCTAAGGCGGTGAATTCTCCCTATCTCTCATTTCTTCTATAATTAGCTCTCATAGATATATCCTTTTATTTTCTTCAACCTTTGCGTGATTTGTGTCTTTTTTAAATTAATTTTAACTTAATCTCATAACGACCTTTACAGTACGAGGCCCACGTTCTTGTCCCTGACCGAAGCACACCCGAGCGGTAATTTTCCCACAATTTGTCTGCAAGTTCTAAATTGGTTCAAGTGTGGGGATTGCTTGTCCCACCTCTGCTCCTCCAATCCAACATCCGAACACCAAATGTGAAGCCCGAAGCCTTTAAAATTCCAAGCGATCTCCCGGTTGATTCCACCAATTTAAAATTTTAAAAATTGAAAAATTTTTTAAAATCGAAAAAAGAATTTCCGAAACCAAAATACCTTTTACTTTTCTAACATTTTCGGAGCCTAAAATTCATTCAAAACTTCAACTAACCAAATTTCAAACCAATTATTTAAATTTAAATAATAAGTGAACAGAACCGATTTTTTCTTTTATTTTTCTAGTGTTTTGACAATTGTTGTGGCTCAGGAGAAAGTGGAGGAATGTTTTGCTGAAATTCTTGAAAAATTGTCTGAGGTTTTGTTTTTTGACTTTGTTCTAGAAATTACCCAAATTTAGGACCAAGGACGTGATGATATTGAGATTCGTATGTTGGTTCATCAGTCTCATGCTGGAGCTATTATTGGCAAAGGTGGCTCGAAGATCAAGGAGTTGCGTGAGCAAACTGGTGCACAACTTAAAGTTTTTCAAGAAACCTGCCCTCTTTCTTCTGATCGGACAATGTTGATTACACTGGACAGGTAAACGAAATATCTTATCAGTATTAAAATTCGATTTTAGAGCAAAAATGCCCAATGCAATTCGTGTCTTTAATGAATTTCTTAAAGAGGTTAATTTTTAAAATTATGAGGGTTTAAGTTAAAATGAGTCCTTTTGTTGACGCTTTCGTCATTCCTGTTGGTGTTCTCGTGAAACATGAGGTGAAGTTCCTCTGTGTTTCTCATCTCTGTTGACGTTTGACCCTTAAAAATAAGCGACGAGCGGTACGGTGATTTTTCCACCAAGGCTCATTTTGTTTCTTGACTAAAGCAAAAATCTCTTTTAGCCACCCCCCTATAACCAGCCCAGGCTCCTTCATTTTAATTGATAATTCAATTTTTCAGATACCAATCAAAGGCCCAATCAAATCCTATGATCCAGCCAATTTTGATCCACACCTTACTCAAGCTTATGGAGGCTTTGCTGGCCCAATGGGACGTGGAGGTGGAATGCGCGGTGGAAGAGGTGGTGGTGGTGGAAGAGGAGGAGGTGGAGGATATAACGATGGAGGAATGGGCGGAGGTGATTTTATCCTTTTTTAGAAGTTATCACTATTTCAGTAGGTTATGCAGGTTTTGGTCCAGGTCCAGGGGGCCCTCCTCGCGGACCTCCTCCAATGGGCATGGGTGGTGGTTATATGCAAGAGCAAGTGACTACAACTCAGGTTTTTTTTGATTTAATTTGAAAGATTTTATTTTCGTTTTTAAGGTGACTATTCCAAATGAATTGGCAGGAACAATTATTGGAAAAGGAGGCGACCGCATCAATCGGTTATTTTCATTTTATTTTCAAATCTTAAAAAAATTTTTTTAAGTATTCGTTCTGAATCTGGATCGCGCATTGAAGTTGGAAATACTTATGGAAATGATGAGCGTATAATTACGATAACTGGAACTCCACATCAAATCCAATCTGCGCAGTATTTGCTTCAACAAAGGTTTGGGAAGATTTTTTTGATTGTGTAGTTTGGCTGGTCTTGACCGGTGGCTGGTCTTGACCGTTTATGAGTCATTTCTGGTATATTTTGGAAAACCTGGGTCACTATAAAATATTTCTAAGATTTTGCAAACTAGAATTATCTTTTCAAAGTTGTAATTTTTCAGTGTTCGCACCTCGGAAGCTGGACGTCGTTATCTTCGTGAACAATGCTAAATTTAAAAATATTGGTTGATGAAAGACGATTTGAAAGTTTAAAATTTGTGAGGTTTATTTTCCATTTTTTCAAATTGGGCCCTTAATTATATTTGGTTAATCATCTTTTGAGTTAATTTTCCATTCTATCTAAGAAATAATGTTATAATTTTGTCTGTCTCTATTTTTGTATTAAGAAACTATGATTCTCTTCTGAACCGGGCGCGTCGTTGGGGGAGGAGGGGGTGGGGGTGTGTGGGAGCGTGCCTGGTTCTATGTTTTACAATTATTGACGGGGTCAACAACAATGACAAATTAATCGTAAGATAGTCAGAGTTACATAAATACCAAATGCATTATTTCTTAGATAGATTAGATATATTCCCACAACTTTTTTTGTTTTGTTCTACACCATTGTACCAATCTAAAATATTTGTAACCGCTTTTCTATTTTTCTTGATTTTTTAAAGGAACCTAAATTCTCAAATATCCAACCTTTATTCTGTAACCGTGAAAATTTGAATAGATGCAATAATATAAGTTGAGTTAGACTTTTTTGGGATTCCCTTGATTTTTATTGCCAGGTTTTTATGAAATTTATTTGAGTTTTATGGTGAATTGAGAATTATTGGTTTCCGTTTTTATCAGGCACATTACTAGTGGGAGGGGGGGGGAGGGAGTGTGCCGATCCGTGTCCACTATGTATATATTTTATTAAATTTTTATGGAAAAGATATTTGACAGAATCCAGAAAATCCTTAACATAGAGTATTTTAATGTTTTCCCTCAATTCGGGATCGACTCTTTCGATTGATTCTCTATTGTTAGTTCCGGCGATTATGGTTTTAACGCCGGTTTTTTTTAGCGGCCATGAACTTGTCAGTCAACCCTGCAACAGGGACAATTTTACCATCTGGGGCAATTTGTCCTAGGAAGGCGGTGTCTAAAATGCACTTTTTATGGTGGTTCTGAAAAAGTTTATGCTGATGAAGAAAAAATCAGTGAAGAGGACAGTTCCTTGAGGAGGAGCCTGAGTGATTGCTCCTATGCAACTCACAAAGGAGAGTGTTTTGGGTGTCCGTGGGACTTCGGGATGAAACTTGGTAGGTAGGTAGATCATACCCTTTCTATTGCAAAACTCTTAAAGATTCTTATGAAGAAGCTAGAATCTTCATCTGGAACAACCAGGAAAGATTGGGGGTCGAATTCAAAAATGATGTTACCGCATCCATTTATCCCGTAATTTTTTGAATTAAAACTTAGTAAAGAGTAGATTACCACGGACTTTTTTCCCTCTATTTCCTCATCGCCTTATATTAGATTGTCTTTGGGATTCATCTAATAAGAAAATTATAAAGATAAACGGATCATTTACCTTAAATTTAAAAATATAGACGAACAAATATCCACAAATTTAAGAGAAAATTTAAGAGACAAAATTACAAATAAAATTTTTGTCTAAAATTAAAAGTAAAGAGTTTGCGGACTTTTTTCCCTATTCTCCTTCACTTGATCAAAAAAACTCTTTACTTTTAATTTTAGACAAAAATTTTATTTGTAATTTTGTCTCTTAAATTTTCTCTTAAATTTGTGGATATTTGTTCGTCTATATTTTTAAATTTAAGGTAAATGATCCGTTTATCTTTATAATTTTCTTATTAGATGAATCCCAAAGACAATCTAATATAAGGCGATAAGAGGAAATAGAGGGAAAAAAGTCCGTGGTAATCTACTCTTTACTAAGTTTTAATTCAAAAAATTACGGGATAAATGGATGCGGTAACATCATTTTTGAATTCGACCCCCAATCTTTCCTGGTTGTTCCAGATGAAGATTCTAGCTTCTTCATAAGAATCTTTAAGAGTTTTGCAATAGAAAGGGTATGATCTACCTACCTACCAAATTTCATCCCGAAGTCCCACGGACACCCAAAACACTCTCCTTTGTGAGTTGCATAAAAGCAATCACTCAGGCTCCTCCTCAAGGAACTGTCCTCTTCACTGATTTTTTCTTCATCAGCATAAACTTTTTCAGAACCACCATAAAAAGTGCATTTTAGACACCGCCTTCCTAGGACAAATTGCCCCAGATGGTAAAATTGTCCCTGTTGCAGGGTTGACTGTCAAGTTCATGGCCGCTAAAAAAACCGGCGTTAAAACCATAATCGCCGGAACTAACAATAGAGAATCAATCGAAAGAGTCGATCCCGAATTGAGGGAAAACATTAAAATACTCTATGTTAAGGATTTTCTGGATTCTGTCAAATATCTTTTCCATAAAAATTAAATTTGTTTCTATTGTTTCATTAAACTTTTAATAAAATATATACATCGGCTTTTTTTGGACCCAGCATTAGAACCCAGCCTCTAATCTGAAAATCAATTTCGTCTAATAACTAAATACCCATAACCACTTAAAATAAATCTAATAAAAAATTCACATGAGTGATAGGGGTAACAATTTTAACGCAAGCATCTCTTTTAAATCTTTGCATCTATTTAAATTGATTCTACGCTAAATTAAAAAATATTTTCAGTCTTGTCTCTAAAATTGAATTATTTAATTGGATAAATTTGTTTTTGGATTTAATTGTTTTTTTTATTTTGGAAAGTAGACATACTTTAAGCATTATCTTTTATTTTTAATTTAGATTTGGATAATTTTAAAGCACTTTTAAATTATTTTAATTAGTGACGATTGTACAAAATGGCAACTTCATTACCTCCTTTACTTCTGCAGGTTAAAGATTTTTTTAAATTAAGGCGCATGAGATTACTAATTGAGATTACAATCAGAAATTGATTTAGTGGAGCTTGTGGGTGACTTTTCGGTAGCCCCTCTTTCTTGGGGATGTCCCGAGCCTCTCATGTCAGTATTTACTGGGAAATGGTTTTATTCTTTTCCCTCGGGCCTTTCATTCAATCTTAAATATATTTTGAAGCTTAATCTTTTTAATTTTAGAAACTTCAACGTCGTGGAATCGTTGCGGATGAAAAGAAAGAAGGTTTTTTTTTAATTTTTCATCAATGTTCATATTTTTCATTTTACAGAGGAAGTGTTCGCTGAAAGTTATGATCAAGAGGATGAAACGGTTTATTTTATTAAGTTTTATTCATGCATTAATTTAACTGCTTTTAGAAAGCTGACACTGGCAAGGAAAAATATCGTGGTGGCGCTCCAGGATGTCCAAACAAACACATACTTTTTCACGTCTGCACTGAATTTTGCTTTGATCAATGGCAAGAAGGATATCCGGAATCTCGGTATTTTTTTTTGCAAAAATAGTTTTAGCTGTAGTTGTTTGAGGGAAAATACGTGAGCATAGCCGCCTCAGTCAAATTTGTCACCCTCTTCCAAAAATGGGGCAAACTTTTTTTCTTCACCTTAAGTCGAAGGGTGTCCACCGCAATTATGCAAGCACTTATTTGTTAGGCGGACGATCTCCCCTTTGTTAACCGATGTTGAACTATGACATTTGAAAGGAGTGTTGCTGTAAGAGCGTTGCTTATAAAATCACACTCTATTAATAAAATCCTCATACTCTAAAATTTCCATTAATGGAAAATTTTTTTTCTTTTGAAAATTTTTTATGAAAAATTTTTTAGTCTTCCTGAACGTTATTTGGAACAACGAAAGAAAATGCTGCGCAATTATCCACTGCCTGAAGGTTGGACGGAAATTTATGATTCCGGGATGCGCCGGCATTACTATTGGAATCAGAGCACTGATGAGGTTTTTCAATAAAAATTAAGAGATTTTTCGAATTTTTAGGTTTGCTGGTTATCTCCAAGACACCCAAAGGCCGTCATTTCAGAATCTGCTCCAAAAATAGCTAGAGGTTTTTTTTAATTTTAATTTTTCTCAATTATCAAGAAATTTTAGAAATGTGGAACTTAAATAGCCACAAGGCTGAAGATGTTGCGGATGAGGAGGTCAACAACAAAGGAAGGAATAGAAGTGGAAGAGGAAAGGAAGGCAGAAATCAACATGAAAATAGACGTGACAGGAAAAATGCAATGGCTATTGCCAAGCGTGGAAGAGTGAGTTTTTAAATTTTAATTTTTGTAAAAACCGTTTTGACTACATGCGAAAATTATTTTTTAGAAAACCAGAAATTAGAAATAAAATCGAAATTTTGGGGGTTTTTTGGCAGAAAAGAAAATTTCATATGGCAAATATAGGCGTATACCTTGTCCTGGCGAAAATTTCCGGGTGTCTGAAACTGTCCCGGAAAATTTTCGAGTTGGTTCGGCTTAGAGCCGACAACCCTATCTGTGTTTTAAATACTAACCTATCTGTTAAAGTGCTAGATTCTGATAATCCTGGAATGGAATATATTTTTAAGTTTTATCCCAAAATAGATAAATCTATAAGAAAATTATCAGTCTTTTAATCTAAAATATATTTTTTTAGGGAGCTGAGGATGAAAGTGATGAAGACTCGAGACCAATTGCAGAATTAACTGAACGTGACAAACTAAGTTAGATTTTCTTTAAAATTAAAAAAAATTTTTGTTTTCATTTAGAACGTGCTAAACGTAAGGGAATTGACCCAATGGACCCATCCGCCTATGGAGAGGCTCCTGAAGGTGCTTGGACATCTGGACTTGTAGAAGATCAAGAAGTAAAGACTGGCGTTGATGTGACTGCTTCTGGACCGGTAATTAATTAACAAAAATAAGATCAATTGAAGTCTGATATTGTGAAATTATGCAATACCAGATTCCAATAACATTTCTCGAAGAATGTTGATTTCTAGGTGTTTATCGGGTTGTGTTTTCGTGAGAGATTATTCGAGATCTCGATTTTCGAGCGACACGCTAAGTCCGGTCTCTAGTATTGTTAGGGTTCGAATTGTTAAGATTCCATGATTTTTGTCAATTTTTACATTTTATATAAGATTCGATGATTTAATAACATAGAATATTTGACACTTTGATCCCTAATAATTTTTACTTGCATAAAAGCACAAATAGCTGACTTAACTCCGATAAACACCATTTTTAGAATTTCACTTTCAAACAATCTTTAATGTTTTTTTCAATTTTTAGCTCTTTCAACAACGACCGTATCCTGCTCCTGGCGCAATTTTACGTCGACTACATCCTGATAAGTACCCGCCAACATAAAATGGATCTACAAAATCAATGGTCTTTCAGATGGCTCCCGATTGTTGAAGTTTTAAATTTTAAAATTATTTTTATTTTTTCTTTTTTTGATTTGTTATACTAGGATTTTATCCATCCTATGATCTATAACAAATCAGTCAAGAAAATTTGTTCCCCAAAAGTGAATCTAAAAAATCGATTTTTTAGGAGTTAACTTTTCGTTTTGTTCATTTTGGATTTAATTGGTCTTAAATCATTACTAGGGATTTTTACGAATTTTTTCGGGTTTTTTGCAACAGTGACTAAAATTTTAATTTGTTAGAAAATCTTCAAGCTTTAACTTTAATTTTAGGTCCCTGAAATTTAAGAAAATCAAAATTTTAGAAAGCTCCAAGAAATATACAAAAAAAATTTCGATATTAAAATTTTAATTAAGAAATTCATTGAAGATTTTCTATTTAAAATAACCGTAAATATAAAAGAAAATAAAAGTATTATAATCTTACGGGAAACAAATATTTAACGGCATCAAAAAAAGATTTAATATATATCAAGTTGAACCCCTGCTGAACCCATTCTCCTAGCAGTTTAACCTGTTTTTCCATGTTACGAGGCAAAATAATTTTGCTAATTCCATGGTTCCAGGCAGCGTCTAGCTTTTCCTTAAGACCATCAACCGCCAAAATTTCCCCGTCCGCAGTTTTTAATTGACCGACGAATGCCATGTCTAGGTTATAATAGTGAAAGTAAATTAAAATCCCTAAAGATATTGAAATCCTTTAATAATCCTCATAAATTTAACCCTTAGTATTTTTAGAGAAGGGGATTTGATTTCACTTTTCCTTATTATAGATATGGGCTTTATTGGGCAATTAAATGTAGATGGTGACATGATAGATGTCGGGGGAGTCTCCTTATTATAGATATGGCATTTATTGGACAATTAAACGCTGATGGTGATTTAATGGAAGTGGGAGGGGTTCGAGAAAAGCTAAATGGAGCATATACAAATAAGATAGATAAGATTATTATGCCAACTTGCATGAAGTATGCGGTCAAGGAATTGAAAAAAGAATTTCAAGAAAAATTTACTTTCATCTATGTTGATACTTTTTTTGATGCTGTAGAGTATTTATTTCCTTGAGGGCCACAAATTTTTGATTATTTAAATTAGAAAATCTTCAATAAATTTATGAATGAAAAATTTAAACAACTAAGGAATAAAAATTTTTAAAAATTTTTTGGCAAAAATTTAAAAGTCACGGTCGACGGGGAAGTATTGGAAGTGGCTGGGGTGAAGGAAAAACTTGATGCGGCTCATGGGGAATATTATAACGAATATTATCCTTTCAGAGTGTATGAAACAGGAAATTGAAGGGTTGAACCCAGAAAATATGAAGACTTTCAAATTCATATATATTAGTGATTTTTTGATGCACTCAAATGAATTTTTATAATGATCTCTAGTCTGAAAATCTTCAACGAATTTTTGAATAAAAAATTTGGAAAAATTTGGATTTTGAATAAAAAAATAATTTACGATTTCGTAAATAAATAATTTACGATTTCCTAATCGCTTCAAAAAGATCCAAATTTTTTATTCAAAATCCAAATTTTTCCAAATTTTTTATTCAAAAATTCGTTGAAGATTTTCAGACTAGAGATCATTATAAAAATTCATTTGAGTGCATCAAAAAATCACTAATATATATGAATTTGAAAGTCTTCATATTTTCTGGGTTCAACCCTTCAATTTCCTGTTTCATACACTCTGAAAGGATAATATTCGTTATAATATTCCCCATGAGCCGCATCAAGTTTTTCCTTCACCCCAGCCACTTCCAATACTTCCCCGTCGACCGTGACTTTTAAATTTTTGCCAAAAAATTTTTAAAAATTTTTATTCCTTAGTTGTTTAAATTTTTCATTCATAAATTTATTGAAGATTTTCTAATTTAAATAATCAAAAATTTGTGGCCCTCAAGGAAATAAATACTCTACAGCATCAAAAAAAGTATCAACATAGATGAAAGTAAATTTTTCTTGAAATTCTTTTTTCAATTCCTTGACCGCATACTTCATGCAAGTTGGCATAATAATCTTATCTATCTTATTTGTATATGCTCCATTTAGCTTTTCTCGAACCCCTCCCACTTCCATTAAATCACCATCAGCGTTTAATTGTCCAATAAATGCCATATCTATAATAAGGAGACTCCCCCGACATCTATCATGTCACCATCTACATTTAATTGCCCAATAAAGCCCATATCTATAATAAGGAAAAGTGAAATCAAATCCCCTTCTCTAAAAATACTAAGGGTTAAATTTATGAGGATTATTAAAGGATTTCAATATCTTTAGGGATTTTAATTTACTTTCACTATTATAACCTAGACATGGCATTCGTCGGTCAATTAAAAACTGCGGACGGGGAAATTTTGGCGGTTGATGGTCTTAAGGAAAAGCTAGACGCTGCCTGGAACCATGGAATTAGCAAAATTATTTGCCTCGTAACATGGAAAAACAGGTCAAACTGCTAGGAGAATGGGTTCAGCAGGGGTTCAACTTGATATATATTAATTCTTTTTTCGATGCGGTCAAATATTTGTTTCCCGTAAGATTATAATACTTTTATTTTCTTTTATATTTACGGTTATTTTAAATAGAAAATCTTCAATGAATTTCTGAATGAAAAATTTAAGATCGGAAATTTTTTTGTATATTTCCTAGAACTTTCTAAAATTTTGATTTTCTTAAATTTCGGGGACCTAAAATTAAAGTTAAAGCTTGAATATCTTCTAACAAACTAAATTTGTAACTCCTAAATTTGTATAACAAATCAGTCATATATCCTAGTGTCGATTTTTCAATTTGTTGCTATTTTATGTCGATGTTTGCCTCATTTTTGTCTCATTTTTATCATATTACTTTTACCTTTTTTGAGGTTTAAAAATAAAAGTTATTTTGAAAAAGTGACGTTTTTTTTAATATTTACCTATTTAAGATCGTTCCCAAAATTAGGGTCATCAGAGTGGGATTTTAGGGGAAACGACCTGATTATCTCAAAATGGCATGACTCGAACATCTCTGGGCATAGCTCGTGCCTTGTCCAGACGTTATAATTATTAACTCATCGGTAATCGCCCACTGTATATATTTGATCAAATGCTTTATTTTATTGGAAAAAATTAGTGATAAGATATAAATTATCAATTTTATCTTAATTTCAATCATTTCCTCTTAGCAACTTGTGCAACAACTCGATGATTATAAAGAGATGGCACAAAAGTTGCCCGGTTGCATGTGCAGTTGCAATGATTGTTATTTCGACCATAGTTAAGGCATTTACAAGGGCAATTGCATTGGCATATATAACCTTTGCATTTACATCTACAGCAACAACCCTTGTCACAATCTGTAGCTTCTTCACTTCTATCATAGTCAATCGGATGCGGCGGTGGCTGTGTTGGTGGGCGTGGAGTGTAAGGGTTAACCTCACCAGAGCTAGAAAGAAAAAGCTAGTATTTTTATTCAACTTCGGCTTCCCCCACCAAGTGACCTTATAAATTTTGAAAATACTTTAAACGGAGGAATACTAAATCTGGGAGTATCTTTTAAATGATGTGGTACAGTATTTTGAGTTTCATTTCTTATAATCTGAGACCAACTCATAACATCTATTATGAGGTTTTCTGACACTTGAAAATTACTATATCTATTCAAATCCTACCTCGAATCGGCCGTGTCGGTTTGAGAGCATCCGTATAACTTGTTGAGCTTACGTATGTCTATACGGCTTGGAGTTTTGTATTTACCAATAGCGTTCTCATCGTATGATCCAAGTACTCGAAAAGCACGTAAGCCATACTTCGTTCCTGCACGTAGTGAATAATGCATAATTGAGCCATAATCATAGGGTTCTCCATAAGTCTCCAAAGTTGCTCTACTTTGTTTTGCATATTGTAAAACAGTGTCAGGATCAAGATTGTCAAAGAGTACTTCGATGTATTCATCGCGATCATACATGAAAAAATAAATTTACGCATTAAATCGTTAGGAAGCAATCCTATGAAGATAAACCTTAGTTATATTGCACTTAATACTAGATACAATTCAATTTGAATTGGACCCATAACTCTTAGAATAAATTAGAGGTAGGTGATCTTCACCTCGTAGAATGAATTCCTAACATAGGGGATAGGTTAATCCAAACTCGAGCTCAAATTTGATTTGATATTGTCAAGAATAAATTCGATAGATACGTAAGCAAGAAAGTTATTTTATATGAAAGTAAGAGGGAAAACGGACGGGGCTTGTGGCTTATCTCAAGTTAAAAAATACACCTCTTAATAACTCCCAAGAGTGCAAATATAAGGGAGGTCCTTCTGTTTTAAGTAATTACCGATTTTGTTCATGAAATACCCCGAGACTGTGCATTAACTCATGGATAGCAGTACGAGAATCTTCACAAGCTCCAGTTTCTAGATTGATTTGGTTCTTTTCTGGATTAGCCTGGATACCAACAAAAGTCCAGCAACCTTCTTGCGTAGATTTTATCGTAACATAATTTTTGTGCCGATTTGGATCGTATTTTGGAAAGGAAAGACAAGTCTCGTCTTCTAAAGTGTTGATAGCTGTTTGGACAGCTTTTCTAATTCTTCTCCCAACCGATGTGTCAAAATAGATAGGCAACTGTTTATTAGGCCAGATTCTTAAAATTGTGTGGATTTTTAGTCCATTAGTGATTTCCTAACTAGTGTTGCCAAAATGGACCGACTCAGATCGAAGGATCGAGTCAGGCCTAAGATATTTGGCCCGAAAGTGACTCGTACAGGCACGACTCGATAAAATCAAGGCTTAAAATAATTGTTAGTTATCTCCTTCTATCCAATCAAATCCCCAGTAGTGTTCCTCAAAATGTATAGGCATGATTTTTGGTTGAATACTAGTACCAACACAGCATTAGTTGGTCTGAAAGCCTTTCGTTGTGAAACCTTAAAGTTGGAGGATCAATGGAA